GCTTTATTTTTACATTTTTCGATCTTTTTCGTCGCGCTGTGATGACGTCACATACGCGCTTTTGTCGACCACGATTTTCTCGTCCGCGGTTTTGTGGTGGAACCCCCCCAAATTCCTATAAACAATACATCATTTTATTTCATTTGTTGGTCCTTTAGATTTCAGAAAACTACCCCTCCCACGAAGAGGGGGAAACAATCTCACCTGGGTGATAGGTTCTCCTGTAAGAAGATTGATTTCCTCTGGTTTAGGTACCATGTAGGTAGTGAGAGGGCTTACTATATGCACTTGCTTGCCATCATGCCAAGGCAGAATTCCAGCATGATGAAGAAATATGTAGGCATATAATGTCCCATTATTTCTTGTTTTCTTTGGTACAGAAACATTAACGGTTCTAAAAAATAAAACATAGTTTATAAAAATGCTTAAACTTGGTCATACAGATAGGGTAAATTCATATCTCTTTAATTCAAAAAGTGAATGATTAGCATTTGAATGTCACCAATAGACTTTTTTTTTTCGTTATCTGAAAACTTTCATAATTAGGGCTTAAGCATTTTACAGATAATACTAAAATAACAATCATAATCTAGTTTAGATTTTAATTAAGCATCAGTGGGAGCTGGGCAGCATATAAATTTAATAAATAATAATAGTAATGTCACATAACTGTTCTGACCCCCCTCCTTCTCCGTTCAGGAACGAAAGCCAAAAGCCAGGTAACTAAAAAGGTTTCTTTTAATCAGTCCAAGCTCTTGTGGGCTGCAAGCCCAAATAAACAAAGATAATAGCTCTGGCGAAAGTCCTATAACTCACAAAACACTGCAACCAGGATTCTATATATCCAGCCACTTATCCAAGTTAGCTTCTATCGATATATGAACGCGACCAAGGAACGAGAACAAGAACGTTGACTTCTGCAACCAGGGCATGGCACCAGCAGTCCCTTTTATCAGCAGGAGGGGATCTTGATCAGCATCAGCTGTTCGTAATGACCTCCTGTAGTTACTCCGTTGTCCTTTACGCTGAGTAGACCTGCGCCTGCATGCATCCTGATACAACTCCCAAATGCTTTCATGAGCATTCCCTTTGATCCAATGCTCTGCCGCCACCTGGTGGCCAAACAGTCTCTCCTCGCCCTGCTTGGAGTCGACACCCTGTCCAGAGTCCTCCACCTCCTCCAAGGCCGACTCATAAGACCTCTCGCTGTCCGAGTCTGGCGGAAGCTCCAACGGCTCCTGCCAGGCCACAACAGTTCTCCACAGGTATTCAGTTCATTATGGGATCCGTTCAGCATTGAGGTGACATTCTAGCAAGCCCTTTTGGGTTTGCCCCAAAGGATCTTAAAAGTGACACATGGAAGCAAATTTTGCGAGTGAAGAAACCAACAAATTTTATTCAAAGGCTTTCCCTTAGGTAGTCAGCATTTGGATGTGTAATAGTATCTCTAATGGGGGATAAATGCTCACAAACACAACATTCACTTGTTGGAATGCATGTTCCATCTGCCGCTGAAGTGTGGGAGAAAAAAAAATGCAAATGCATTTTCTGAGGCTGGGGAAATAATTCATAATTTTGGAAAGGCACAGTGCATTAGTACTAATCTGCACTCAATGTGATACACATC